ATCTATCTATCTATCTATCTATCTATCTATCTATCTATCTATCTATCCCCACTGTCCAGAGACAAGATACCTCTGGGCATGGCCACAAAATGCCCGCCATGTTTCTCACCTCATGGGGCCAGAGAAATGTTCTGTCTTCACGCAGCAGCTATTGCCACAGCACTCAAATCCTTCAGGGCAGAAGCTAGCATGGGAGATAGTAGAAGGTGATCCTTTGGTCAAAAGGAGCCCAGATCTAAGCTGGGCCTTTTCCCCCGTGGGATAATAAACAATGGACTTTCATAGTCTTGAGCTGTAAGCTTTTCTCTGGTTGGAGCAAATCATGCCTGCGATGGCTTATGGAGTGGTAGAAAGAGCCTTGTGTGAGGGATGAGGAGGAAGGCCAAAAGACCTGGGTTCTAATCATGACTCTGCCATTTACTAATTATGGGGTCCTGGAGAGTTTATTTTTACCTATGAGCTTCAGCTTCCTCATCCCTAAAATGGGGATAACAGTTTTACCCTGCCTGCCTTGAAGTAGGTAAATATATTTTCCAAATGGAGAAAACAATATACAAAAGCAAAGGCTTATTTATAGTATTATTCCTGTTGGCCTTACTAAATAGCCATTAACACCATGACTAATTAAATTTCCCCTAAAACAGAATCCCTGAGCTTGGGGAATAAATGTACCTAGGTGGATCTCAAAGTGCTTAAGTAACATCAACTCCAGCCTTTCTATTCCATTCTCCCTCTGTGGGTCCCCAGAGTATTTATTCTGATGTATAAGAGCTAGTGGCTTTAGAATCCTGGCTTGTATACTTAAGGGAGATGACCTTGGGAAAGTCATTTCACCCAGCATCTAGAGAACGATGAAAAGATTGCCTAGGATTACCTTTAAGGCCCTCCCAGCACCAAGGGAGGTGATGTTATCACCCAGTTTGTTTTCTACAAATCCCTCGGAAGAGAAAGCTAAGCTAGAAGACTAGAAAACAGACCATGGAAGGACTTCTTCAAGGGGAGGCAGGGAGTCCAGCCTTACTTTTGGCACAAAACCCCCTCATTTTATAGACGAGAAAATGGATACCCAGCCTCAAGTCTTGGGGTAACATGCAGAAGATTCTAAGCCAGGTCCCCTAATTCCAAATCCATTGTTTTGCCCACTGTAATCCCAGTTCTAAGAGCCTGGGTTGGTGAAAGACCAATCTATGGAAGGGGTAAAAGAGAATTCCAACTGGGCCTTTTTGCCAGGAAACTCCTGACTCTGGTGGCCTCCCCTTCCTCCCTAGAGGTTGAGAAACTAAGGCATCCAGGTGGCCATACTTACATGTGCAGTTGGCATCCACCAGTTACCTAGGGAGAAAAAGAGCCAGAGCTTAAAGATGGTGGGGGTAGGGGATACAAGGACATTATTCATCAACAAATATTTATCAAGGCACAAATTTACTAAGGCAACAAATATTTATGAAAGTGCTGGGACTACAAATACAAAGAATGAAAAATTCCCTAGTCATAAGGATATTCCATTCTAGGAATGGAGATTCTAGGAATGGGAGAATGAGACTCTAAGACTCATCAATTGGGGTCCATTGTATCTTCCTTGTGGAACTAGAGCTCCCTTAGAGAAATGGCTGCACAGGCCGCTGCCCCTATTCCCCGCCCCCTCTCGCCCAAATTGTTCTAATTTCCTTCTAATCAGCAGCATCTCCCCAGTCCAGAGGAGTTCTGGGAAGACCAGGACAAATTCAGGTAGTCAGAGCTCAAATCTTGCCTTAGGAGTTGGGTACTGTAGCTGCTGTTCATGTGATTAAATAAAAAATTCTCTCTAATAATTGCAATGAATTAGTATCTAATTTACATGGACAATAAAGATAAAATAGTGCAACATATAAAGTAATAGTTAAGATAACTCCAACTCTGCTTAAAAACTTAATGCAACTGAATTTGAACAGTAGCCCCAGGAAAAAGCACAAAGGGGTATCTAGGGATCCAGAGAAGATAACCACCCCTCCCCCAAATCACCCAGCCTAGTAAATCACAAATCTAGGAACAGAGTTCCACATATCAGGGAACAGAGTAGACGTGGAAGAGCCTTCCACCACGTCTCAGATCTCTTCAGTCTCCTCCCTGTCTCAATAATTAACATGACTAAAGGTGGCTAGATGACTGGGGAAGACAGAATTCCCATTTGGGGATCAGAGAAAGAATTAGTCTCAGGATCTCCAAGCACTTTATTCATTCAGACACCAGTTTGGTTTCCAAGGTTTTCTCAACTTGCAAAGTCCAAGAGATCTGAAATTCTCCAACTTGCCCCAGGCCTCACAATCCTAGATCAGAGACACCACCCAAGCTCCAAATGGTTGTGTGCGTAAGACTAGACTATTAGTGGTGGGGGTGGGGGAGGGTAAAAAAGAGTTCGAACCCTATTTTTAACTGTAGACTAGGTAGGGCTATTTTCCCCACTAGATCAAGTAGAGAAACAAATGCCAAGAGAAGGGCAAAAAATTCCTGAAGGTCACACAGTACATGGGGAGTAGAGTGTGAGGATCCTAGCCCAGGCTCCTCAGTTACCAGCTCGGTACCCCTAGGTTTTGGGCAAGAAAACCAAGAAAAAGTAAGCCAAGGCTAATATTAGGATCAAAGGGTTCTCTGGGATCTCAGGGTACTCGGATGGGGAAGGGGGGAGGAGTTTACCCCTCTCTCTGAATTCCTGCTTCTCTTCTCATGTAAAACACTCACACGTCCCCCGTTCTCAATAGTTCCCCCACACTTTTACCTGTCCTGGCAGGGAGAGACTGGCAATAGGAATCTGTCCCCCAGGTTGAACAAACGCACCCCTGTCCCTCCCCTTATCCCGCCCCGCTCCAAGTCCTCACCTGTTGGAGACCTGCCAAGATGCTAAGAAGCAGACCGGGCAAGACGCTGAGGAGCCTGGAGACCCAGGAGTGCGGCATCCTGGGCTGGTAGATTTGTCTACCAGCTTCCGTGTGTTGGGGGGGAAGGAGGTAGGGCTAGCACCTCCTTCCAGTTTCTGCGGCTGGCCCAGGAAAAGGGGGAGGGGCTTATGCAATTGTTATGGGCTGGACAGAGATCTCCAAGGGGAAGGAGAATAATTTATAAGACTGCTGGGCAGTCTAGAAGACCCGGGTTCAAATTCGGTCTAGGAAGTCTCCAGTGTGAACACAGGCTGGTCATTCCACGTCTCAGTGCCCTAGGTACTCTCTTAAGACTATAAATTACAGGTAAGTGGTCAATCTGCACCCGTGCAGGAGAGTTTCCACACCGGGACACTGATAACATTGTGTATCAGGTTGAAAAAAAAAAGGCTATTATTATAGAGTTTTGACTTCCCTGTCTCCTTCCAATTCAATTTCGTTAAACTAGTGTTATTAAACGCCTACTATGTGCCAGGTACCACGATAGGTACTGGGGATAGAAAGACAAAAATGAACATACTCCCTCCCCTTAATTAGCATACTTTCTATGTTCTACCCCTCACTCATCCCATTAATAGCCCCAGCTTTGAATGGTACAGACTTCCCAAGGCGACATGGGGGAGAAGTAGCTGTGGGAACATTCTCCTCTTCTTTTCTGGTCCCCCTCTCTTATAAAGAAAGTTACAGCCTATTCCAGAAGAGTGAAAACTCTAGTTTGGGTTTTTTTTCTTTTCGCCAGTTTCACCTGATTCCATCTTCTCATCTTGAAGGGACTGGAGGGGAAATCCAAACTGGAGTTTCTGGACATGTGCATAGGTGAGCATCCCTAGTGAGCCCGGGTGGGCTAGTACATAGTCAGCAGGGACCAGATCCTTTAGCTGGGAGGTGGGGATGGGGTGGAGTGCCTAATTAATTCTTTCCTTTCCTTTCCTTTCCCTTCCTCCTCACAGCCCAGCAATCCAAAATGTGGGGAAGGTCCCTCCCAAATCCATCTCAATGGCCTTTGGGGCCAATAAGGAGAGTGTTGGACTAAGAGTTAGAAAAACCGGGGTTCAAGCCTTGCCTCAGACACTTACTAACTGTGTGACCTCTGGAAAAATCCCCTAACCTCTCTGAGCCTCAGTTTCCCCATCTGTAAAATAGAGATGACAATAGTACCAGCCTCTGGATTGCTTCCAAATGAGATCAGAAGTAAGAAGTTTTGAAAACATGAAAGAGCTAGGGTTCTTCTCACTGACTGAGAGTTGGTTGGTATGACTTGGAAATTGCTTTGAGATTCTCAGGTTTGGAGAAGAAAAAAAGCAAGTGAGTCAGAGTCACAGAATCTGGGAGTTAGAAGGGACCTCAGTAATATCTATTCCAACTCACTCATGAAAGGAATGCCCATCATAACATACCTGGATGAGTGGTCCTCAAGTCTCACCTTGTCGGTCCTCTCTTGAGGGTGCTCATTCCACTTTTGGACAATGCCAATTGTTAGAAAGTTTTCCCTGACAGAGGCTTGCATTCTGTCTTTGCCTCCTCCTTCTTATACTTGTGAAGTTGATTTTTTTGAACGTAAGAAAGACTTTACATTTATCCTTACTGAATCTCTCTCTCTCTTTTTTTTTGGTGAGGCAATCAGGTTTAAGTGACTTGTCCAGGATCACACAGCTAGTAAAGTGTTTGAGGCCAGATTTAAACCGTGGCTCTCCTAACTCCTGGGCCAGAGCTTTATCCATTGCACCACCTAGCTGTCCCTATCCCTATTGAATATTTTTTTGGGGTAAATTTTTAAAATTTACTTTAAACTTAAATACAATGTGAGAAAAGAAAAAAAAAACATTGCCTTGAGCACAGCAAAACATGAGAGGATTCAATATAATACAATAAATTTCCATTTCAAGAAAACCTGTGTGATAAATACTGCACATTGTTTTCAAAGTTGCCCAGCTTTTCTTTGTTTCCTTGTGGGTTTTCTTTCGTTCTCTGATGTTCACTTTTTATTTTATTTTTTCCCCTCCCCACCCCCAAGAAGGCTATTATTAAGCATGGATATATATATATATATATATATATATATACATACATATACATAGATATCTATTAACATATACATATATACACATACACTCATACATATGTATGTAAGACTGTACTATACTTATTTCCTCTTATCATCTGTTTCTCTGAAGGTGGATAGCATCATCTTTCATAAGTCCAAGTCTTTCCATGTTTTTCTAAATTAACCACCTCATCATTTCCTACACCACAGCCATATTTCAACCCAATCATATCTTATCTGAGAGATTGTCTATAAAATTTCCCCCTCAATTTTCTGCATGCCTTCTGTTCTTGGCTACACAGGTTTTATTTATACAAAAAAGTTCAATTCAAAATAATTGAAATTATCCATTCTACACTTCAATAATACTCTCACCTTATAGTTTAAGGTCTGATACTGCTGAATGTACTTCCCTTATATTTTTTTTCCCCTAGTTTCTTTGAAGTTGTTGTCATTTCGTTCTTCCAAATGAACTTTTTATTATGTTTTCTAATTCAGTAAGGTAATTTTTAGTGATTTAATTGGGATGATAGTGAATAAATAGATTAGCTAGGTAAAATTGTCATTTTAAAAAATTATATTGGCTTTACCTACCCATGAACAATAAATGTTACTTCAATTATTTAGATCTGACTTTATTATAGTTCTTGTGTCTGTTTTGGCAGAGATACATTCAGGTATTTTATACTGTCTAGTTATTTTAAATGGTCTAAAACAATATTAAATAATATTGCTGATGCAGTGTAGTTTCTTATTTTTCACTTTTGATTAAATCTATTTTAACTTTAACTTTGTCTGAGATCCTGATTATTACCCCTTCTTTTTTCACAAAATAAATTCTTTACATAATAAATTCTACTCCTGCCCTTTATTTTATCTTTGTGTGCATCTCTAATTTTTATAATGTTTCCTAAAAGCCACATACTGTTGAGTTCAAATTTTTAATCTGCTATCCACTTCCATTTTATGGGTAAATTCATCCTATTCACATTCTTAGGTACAATTACTTGGGTATTTTCCTCCTTCCTATTTTTTCTTACTATCTTTCTCACCCTACTTACCCTATCCCTCCTCACTCCTCTGCTTTACTTCTACCTGTTACTTTGCCCTCCTATTCCTTAATCTACTCACCCCTCCAAGAATCCCTCTCTTATCCTCTCCCCCCATCCCATACCCTTGCCCTCTTATTTCTTTCTGAATTTAGAAGATTTTTATATCCTTCTAGATATATATGTTTCTTCTTACTCCAGCACTACCTACCCTCCCTGATACTAGCTTCTTCTGTATCAATTTTTCCTTTTATGGCTCATTTCTATGAGATAATTTTTATTACAATTTTATTTTTTTATCTCATTTGTATGAAATAATTTTTATTACAGTTTTATTTTTTTAGAATTACCCCATCATGCTCAGCTCATCCCAAGCCTTTCTTTCAAACTACCCAAATAATAATGACAATAAAGAGTACTGCTAATATTTTCACATGTAAGAAGTAAACAATTTGACTTTATTGAGTCCCTTATAATTGTTCTTTAATGTTTACCTTATATTTCTTCTGGATGTTATATGTTGAATTTTCCCTTAAGTTTTTTTTTCTGTCACAAACACCTGAAAGTCTTTCAGTTCATGAAATGTTCATTTTTATTTCATTCAGTATTATACTTAATTTTGCTTGACCCTTGGTCATATCCCTAGCTCTTTTGCTCTACGGAGTATGATATTCCAAGACTTACGGTCTTTGAATGTAGTAGCTATTAGGTCTATCCCTATTGAATTTCATCTTATTAGAGCTAACCTAATGTTCTACCAGTCCTGTCAAAATCCTACTGGTTCCTTACTTTTTCATCCAGTGGGTTAGGGAGCCTTCCCAGATTTGTGTGATAAGCAAATTTGATGAGTATATCATCTAGGCCTTTATCTAAGTCATTGATAAAAATGTTAAATGTTCCAGTGCCTAGCATAGATCCCTGGGGTCCTTCTCTGGATACCTTCTGCATTGTTGACTTTGAACCACTAATGACTACTCCGAATTCCATCCACTAACCATTCTGAATCTATCTGATTGTATTATTATCTAATCCATATCTATCATTCTCCACAAGAATAATATGAGATGCTTTATCAAAAGCTGTGCTAGAATCTCAGTAAACTATATGTACAGCATTACCCCTATTGGTTTAGTAATCCTGTCAAAAAAGGAAGTGAGGTTAGGCTGGCATGCTCTGTTGCTGGTTTTTCTGGATGTTTCCCAATGTCCTCTTTAACATTCTGTTTTAGAATTTCCCCAGGCATTTATTTCCAGCTCACTACTCTATAATTTGCAGACTCTCTTCTTCTTCCTTTTTTTCTTTTCTTTTTTTTTTAAGTTAGGACCCTTATTTCCCATCTTTCAAAATTTCCCATCTTTCAAATATCATCGACTAGTTCAGTAAAAATACCTCCCACTTCTTTTAGCACCTGAGGATGTAGTTCATTTGGGTCCAGGTGACTTAATTCATCGAGGGTCAATAGCTGCTATCTTACTATTTCCTTCTTTAGCTTGGGTATTAGCTAACTCCCTGTTAGTCATTTTTCTTCTGGCATTTCCAGAGTAAAGGTGATGGTCCTTTGCAGAGAAGAGAAATAAAGTAAGAATTGAATGACTCTTTCTTTGCTTCCCTGTCAGTTATTGTCCCATCCACACCAAGCAAAGGTCTTATCTTTTTTTTTTTTTTTTTTTGCTAGGCACTGGGGTTAAGTGACTTGCCCAGAGTCACACAGCTAGTAAGTGTTATGTGTGTGAGGCCAGATTTAAACTCAGGTCCTCCTGAATCTAGGGCTGGTACTCTATTTACTGTGCCACTGAGGTGCCCCAAGTCTTATCCCTTCTTGATCCTCCTTTTCCCCCTACTAGAACTAAAACCCTTTTGTTGACTGTGGCTTCTTTTGACTGCCTCAGTTCATTCTGAGCTCAGCATTGCTGACACTATAGGATTTCATGCTCTTATACTCATCCTTTC